AATTTCTTTTTTCTTTTTTTTTTTTTTGGAGATAGGGTCTTTCTCTGTCACCTGAGCTAGAGTGCAGTGGCATCATCATAGCTCACTGCAACATCAAACATCTGGGGCAAGTGATCCTCCTGCATCAGCCTCCTGAGAAGCTGATGGTGTGTGCCAAGGTGTGCACCACTATGGCCGTCTAATTTTTCTATTTTGTGTAGAGAGGGGTCTGGCTCATGCTCAGTCTGGTCCCAAACTCCTGACCTCAAGCCATCCACCGGCCTCAGCCTCCCAGAGTGCTGGGATTGCAGGTGTGAGTCACTGTGCCCGACCTGATATTATCCATTCTTTAAATGTTGGGCAGAATGTTTCTGGAAACCATCTAGGCCTGGTGTTTTTATGAAAAAGTATTTTAACCCTTTCTCAAGCTGTTTTATGGTAAGCTGTTTTATGGTTAGATTTTTTTTACTGGGGTCAATTTTAGTAAGTTGTGTTTTCTTTTAAAAGTATCCATTTCATCTGTATTTTTATTTTCATATAGGTGTACAAAGTAGTCTCTAAAGCTTTTAAAAATTTCCATGTTTTTAATAATTTTCCCTCAATATTTATAATTTTGTGCTTTTTTTGTTCTTTCTTTATTAGGTTAGCCAATGGTTTGTTGATTTTTTTCCCCAAGGACCATATTTTGCATTTATTTGCTTCATTATTTTTCTCTTTTCAAACTTTAGAATTTATGCTTTCTTTTATTTTAAGGTATCTGCAATTTTGGCAGATTTGTGAGGTAATTCTGGTCCTAGATCTGGGAATTACAGCTGTGGTAACTGCAGTTTTTTTATAGAAAATTGGTCACCTGATGCCCTATTCCTTCCATTACACCATTGTTTTCAAATTATTGCATATATTATTCTGTGTGTGTGCATGTTATTTCTGCAACAGATGGAAGCCCTTTGAGGTCAAGACTATGTATAATATTTCCTTTGGACAAAAAAATATTGATATTGTGGCTAAGTTAGAAAATTAGTGGAAATGTGAAGGCAGCTTCTGAAATGGCTCCCGACAACCCCTACATCTTAGTATTCACATGCTCGTCTCACTCCCTCTGTCCTTGAGTGTAGGCTGGACCTAGAGACTTGGTTCTACAAAGTAGAATATGACAAAAGTATTGGGATGTTACCTCCAAGATTAGGTTATAAAAGACTTCTACTTTGTCTTGTTCAGACTCTCTCTGTATCTCTAGATTTACTTGTTTTGATGAAGAAAAGGGCCATATAATGAGCTGTCCTATGGAGAGGAAGGGAAAACAACCCCTGGACAATAGCCCACAAGGAATTGAAATCTACCAGCCACCACTTGAGTGATCATGGAAGCAGATCCACCTCAGGTTGAGCGTTGAGATGACTGCAGCTTAGACGAACACCTTGATCGCAACCTTGTGAGAAGCCCAGAGCTGGCTAAGATGCACCTGGATTCCTGACCTGCTAAAACTTCGAGATAATAAACCTTGTTTTAAGCTATTAATACTATTTGTGGGGTAATTTGTTATGCAGAAATAATCAATACAGAGTCCAAACTTTGTATAACTGTCTCGGTCTAGGAAACATTGCCCAGTTGAAAACTGAATAGTCTAGTTGTAATTTGGAAGTAACCTGCTCTGTAGAGAAATAACTCTAAATCAGAATTTAAAATGCAGTAATGCAATTAATACCCAAACTTTTCATTTAAAAGTGAAGGTATTTTAACATCATTTTCTTTTAATTCCTTCATTTTAATTCATTAAAGGCATACCGGTTGTCCCTTAAAATGACTTATTTTTCACATCTTCTTTTTTAAAAATTGTATCTGCACATGAGTATTTAGAATGTGCTGAATTAATGACACATTACCTAAATAAAATGCACAGATCATAGCTGAGTTATAACATGGATTTTTATTGTACAACATTTTAACCAATATTAGTTTGTTTCTACACCCTGGTGTAGACTGCTGATTGTCCACAAAAAAAATATGTCCTTCTTCTTTTTTTTTAAATAGAGATGGGGTGTCTGCTCTGTCACCGAGGTTGGAATGCAGTGGCACCATCATAGTTCACTCCAACTTTGAACTCCTGAGCTCAAGTGATCCATCTGCCCTCAGCCTCCTGAGTTGCTGGGACTATAGATGTGAGCCACTGTGCCTGGCTGTCCTTCTCTTCTTCCACAGTAATATAGTTTAAGCTGGACATAAGGCTGCTGTGCTAGAGACGACATTTCCAATTCTTTCTTGAGGCCATGTGACTGAATTCTCACTGCTAGAATGTCAGTGGAAGGGATGGGTGAACTTCTGCCTCATTTGCTTAATAAGAAATTGCTGCTCAGGACACTTGTTCTTGTCTCCCTTTCAGGAGCTGGACCTCAGATGTCCTATTACTCAGCTTCAACCACACAAAAGAGGACAATGACCTAGGGCTCAGTTCCAGGTGGAGCAACAAGATAAAATGTAACTAAGTCACTGAGTGGGGTCAGGGAGCAGAGCTTCCTAGAACCTCAGCTGCTGGCTCTGTAACTGTTCTGTGAAAGGGAAGTAAATGTCTATATTCTTTAAGTCACTGAATTTTGAGGTCTTTTTGTTACAGCAGCTTAACCTTTACCCTAAGTAATACATCCATCATTGATTCTTTTGAAGAATGTCATTTTGTATATAATTGTTATATATACACAATTTAGAGAAGTACAAATAACTGGATTTCTGTCTTGGAAAAAAAAAAAAACATCAAAATGTGTTCTCCCAGGAATGACTAATGTTAAACTACCAAAGAACTACAGGTTATTTCTTTGGCCTCAACTTTTTGTTTTGTTTTGGTTTTTGTATGACTTCATGCTATTATTAATATTTAACATCTCTGCACTGCTAGAACAGTCTTTTAGCCTTATCACTTCTCAAAGATAGTGATTTTTGTTAGACTGGTTGAGAAATTTATGTTCTTCAGCCTGTTCTTGAGAAGAAAGGCTCCGGGAAGTGTACCCACCACTGCCCGCAGGCTTCTCCGTGTCATTCAAGATGTTTAGAGCCAAATTCTCCTGAGGATTCTTCCCTAAAATGATGGGTCCAGCACAACACACATCGTTAGGGCTATTTCACCTTATCTCGAGATTGTTCACAAGAGCCTTTACAAGAAAGATAAGAAGTGAGGATTCTTGTCTCATTACAGGAATGAACCGAGGCAGCCAGTGACTTGCTCCACGTGATACCATGAGTCACTGGAAGCTACAATCAGTACCTGGTCCTCTAAGGAGATAAAATGCTCTGCCTGAAAAATACACTTCTTTGGCATTAAACTTATGCTATGTGTGCCACATTTTGCTTTGTTTCTTTTTCTTAATTGGGAGAAAGAAAAACTGAAGCACTAAATTCAGGAGGTACAAGATGCAAGTGCCTTCATGGGAGATCATAGTTCTTTAACACAAACAGAACAGGTCCGGAACTACTACAACTCCAGCTTTCAAAACTAAACCACCGGGTTTCGTTTCGGTGTCTGTCAATGACAGCCTTGGGGAGAGAGGCTTCTGCCTCCTGAGCCAGACAGCTCTGTGTGTGACACAGCTGGGGTATAACAGCATCTCTGTGCTCCTTCTGTAAGAGGAAAATGCTGTCCCTTCAGTGCTCTCTCGGTCCCCTTGACCTTGGTCTCCAGGCAGGACTGAGAAGCAAGAAAAGCAGAAACTAGGGCTTGAGGGAGAGCAACTCATCGCGGAAAGTCACATCCCAAAGACTCCCGGGCCTAAAAGGACAACTGGATAAATATTTACAAGGTAATGGCAGGTGTTCACTCATCATCATTTATACAACCAGATACTTAGTAGGCTTGGCATGGACAGCCAGGAAATTCACAGCCTTCTACTGAAAACTGAAGACAAGAGGACTGAATTGCATTTTGGTTGCAGGCTGATCACCTGGGCCTAATTTGACTGTTGCCTCTCACTCCCTGTGAGGAGGTGCAGGGGGCCTCTCCCACGGGATTTCAGAGCCCCAGGAGGGAGATTTAAGAGAGAGGAGGGAAACCCAAGACCTATCTGCGGGTCATTTCCTCTGCTGCTCTCCCGTTGAAAGCTCTAAAGCTGGCACAGGTGCAGATGAGATGCCCAATCCTTTTCCCAGTCCTTCAGCACCTTGTTTTCTTCGGGCCTGAAGTTCCCAAAGGGTCTGAGTTAGTTGTCCCAGCGTCATTTTTTAAACAGAGCAGAAAGAGGTAGGAGAGAGTAGTAAGCATCTTTGTTCTCAATGCGGAAAACCGGGAAGGAAGCGCGTCTCCTCCCCACCCACCTGAAAGTGTTCCCCAGTTGCCAAATCACAAGGGCAGGGGCGGCTACGCGGAGAGTGACTCAAGGCCCGCTTTGAAACTTCTCGGTTCTCGTGCAAGGTCGAGGGTGCTCGGGCCTCTGGGGAGACGTTGCATCACGCAGAGTTTGGAAAGGACTGGGGAATTTTCCCTAGAGGGCTCGCTGTTCTTCCTGGGAGCGAGTCTCTCAAGAAGCGGCAGAGGTGGAGTAGGCGGCCGGGTGTGGGGAGCTGGCGTGGGGGGAAATCCGACCTCACCTTGGGCTCAAGAGTTGACAGGAAGGTCGCTACCGGATGGGCCAGCGCCAGGAAGGATGGACTCGCGCAGGTGCTGGCGTGCGCGGCTGCTCCCCATTAGTGTCACAATTGCGCCCGGCGGGAGGGCGGGGGGCGCGGACGTGCGAAGAGAGGCGCAGTTCAGACACCTGCATTCCTCCTCCCAGTTCCCCGCGGGTCAGACGCGGTGACCGCCCGAGCCCGCAGGATCGGAAAGAAAGGGGGACGTGCCTCGCGCTAGGTGGAGGCGGATACCTGGGCACCCGCGCGCGGGGGGCGGGCGCTAGGACCCGGGCGGCGCACCTGTTGGCCCGGCCCAGGGCCCCGCCCGCACTGCGGGCCCCGCGTGTGCGAGGCGGGAGCAGCGACGCGAGCGGAGGGCACCCGGCGGCCCGGCGTGGTGGCAGCGGAGCGCGGGCCCGGGGCTCACCATGGCCGAGCTGCTGCGGAGCCTGCAGGATTCCCAGCTGGTCGCCCGCTTCCAGCGCCGCTGCGGGCTCTTCCCGGCGCCGGGTGAAGGCCTGCGGGAGAACGGCGCGGACCCCGCGGAGGGCGCGGCGCAGGCGCCCGGGGTCGGGCATCCCCCCGCGGCCAGCCGGCTGCAGAGCGCCGCAGTCCCGCAGGTAACCGCGGGCAGGTGTCCGCCGGGGAGGGGAGGGCAGTGGCCCCGCAGCCTGCGGACGCGCGGGGCTGGGCGCCTCCACGACAAGCCAGCCGGGCCGAGAGGGCACCGTCCCCGGCCGCGACCTGGCTCCCGCCGCGGTGCGTGGAGGGGGCGGCCTGGTGGTTCCAACCAGCAGGATGCCACCCTCTAACGCTGCCAGGTGGCGACAAGGTCCATTCGGACTCTAAATAGACCCAGAACATTTAAATGCAGTCTATGTAGTCTTTTTACTTTAAAAAAGTAGTTAAATTCACGTCCATGTATATTCCAGCAAATACGCAGGAGTTATGTAATTGAAAAGAGCGCAGATGTCCTTGGCACTTACCTGGGGAGACATTCTTAGAATCCCCCTGTATTCCGTCCCCGCCCCCCATCTTCGCAAACCCGGGTGTAGCTGGGCTCAGCGTGCTCTGAACCTTGCTGCACCGCCAGCCTGGAGGACGGAACTTCAGGCTTACATATTGCTCCTAGACAGACTTACAACCTCCTGGGCTACCCGCCCCCACCCCACGAAGATGTTGGAACAGCATCTCCCTCTCGCCCTCCCCCTGAGTCTTGGAGTCCCTGCCTGGTGGGTCTTTTATTTATTAACTGGCACTAGTGAGTTTTAACAGATGCTTTCGGGAGGGAAGCTCCCCAGGCTCCCTGCGAGGTGTTCGGAGTGAGATTATACAACCCACTGCAGCTTTGGGGAAACCAGCATGTGTTGTCGCAATGCACAGGGACTCCAGACAGAAGGGACAAGACAGGCTGCACATGGCTACAGGGGACAGTATCTACCCTGGGCACTGGCAGAAGTTGCCCTTTCCCTGGGCAAAGTAAAAAGTGTAGCAAATGAGAACAGAAACAACATATTAACAATTCTAATTCCTTTTTAAAAAGCCACATTTTGTTCTTCCTAGAAGGTTTTGGTGACGGGAAGGTGGCATTTATTTATGTGTAGATTTCTAGATCTAGTAAGCGAGGAAGAACCTGGCTTCTATGTGAAAAGAATACTGTGGGCATTGAATTGTAGAATTTGTTGGGGAGGGTAGGGGCGGGATGTGTGTTCCACTCCAGAGAAATCCCCCTCTGTGTTTTTTCTCCTTTTATTGTTCCTTCTTTGTCCCATGTGACATTCTAGTATCTTTTAGATGAGTTCGAGACACCCGCCTTTCCTCTTGCCTTGTCTTGAAACCGGGGCAGATTAGGGGGATACGAACCAGTCACATGGCTGAAGTGTGCGGTGGCATCTGTGCACACACTGTTTACACCCATGGGTGTAACAGCCGGACAGATTTCTTGTGCTCTCTTCCCTAGCATCTACCCCGTTTCTCTAATTTAGGAAGCTGAAAAAGAGTGAACTGTTCCACTAGTGCTTTTCAAACTGTTTTAAACATTACCCTTTGTAACTTAATTTCAAATTCTAAAGAGGGATCCTCTTTTAAAAGCCAGATAGGCAGATTTCTTGCAGTGTTGTCTTCTTGCTGCTTGAAGGGCCTGGGTCTTCAGTGAGACAAACTATGGGGATTTTCCCCTTCCCATCCAACACAGGACCTCTACTCATAGATCAAGAAAAAATAAGAGACAGCTAAAAATCCAAGGTAAGAAATCACTGTGCTGGTATATAATAGGGAAAAATGAACTTGAGAGCATTTCATAAATGAAAGGTTAATGAATGTGTTAACGGTTGTTCTCAACCCACTTGGAAGATTAATCCTTTACAAATACACGTGGATTTCCCAAAAGAAAATGATTGCCTACCTGTCCCCAGGTAATTTACAGGACTTTAAGGGGATGGTTGGGAAAACTTTTCTCCAGCAGCTTTGCTTCCCTCTCGGCCTCAGGCTGCACCAAGGCTGTGGCCCACCTGAGCTGCCTGTCCTTTCTCTAAATTCCCTCCACCCATGCTTGTTTCCAAAGGTCAATTCCTTGATAGGCTGGCTAGGAACTGACCTTGGAAGCTACCTCCCCCTTTTAGAAGCTCACTCTGCTTGCTGTGTTTCTTCATTCCTGCATCGTGTAAATATGCCTTTGTGTGGTATCTGATTAGTGCCAGCTCCTCCAGTGGATGATAAGCTCTAAGAATGCAGGAAACTTGTCTGTTCCACTCATTATTTTCTTCCCACGGTCTGGCACATAGTAGGAGCTCAGTGACTTTTGGGAATACATGAGTGCACATTGCAGTATAACTATGAAGTCTGTAGTTTTTTTTAAACAGAAGAGTGAATGCTGAAAATCAAATGATTTTTCATATAGCCTAGAAGACAGCACCAGGACATTGATTTAAGACACTTCAAACAATAGGGAAGTTTTCTTTAATTGAGTGTCTTTAGAGCTCAGTGAATCTAATTCACCTTCTACGTTTTCTATATTTATTTTAATCCTTAAAACAGGACAAATGCAAAAATGATTGAGTAAGGACTTCCTCTACAAATTCTCATTACAACTCACACTGGTAGTTTAAAGATTAATCGAGTCCTTTAGAGACCAGGGCTGGGTTGGGCTTGCACAAACCTGTCATGAATAAATTGGACTGTGTCTTGGAGACTGCCTAGTAGACATGAATTTCAAAGAAAATCTAAGTCCCAAAGGGTTAAGTGATTTGTTGAGGACTTCTCAGATATCCGCACAGCAAGAGGAAGTCCTATCTTTTGACGCCCAAGTCTAAACTTCTTTCTACTGTGCAGCTTCCAGGGGAAAAGTCCAGGGCCTCACGTTATCCGGTTCACTGAGAAAGAGTGAGGTGTTGGTGCTGGCTAGGGGTGAAAAGAGGCAGTATTGCTTTCAGTTTGCAAGGGTAACCAGTTTGTGAGTATAACCATAGGAGGACATTCTTGGTAGTTGCCTTGGGAAGTATTGCCCTGAGCAAAAGGCAGGGCTTCTAGGACCTGGCTATGAAGGCAAAGGCATGTTCAGAATTGTGTTTGTTTATTCTGGGGTAAAGCCAGCTTTGGATATAGTGATATTTTGATTTTCAACATCTTTGCTTGCCCAATATAGTTGGGTTTTTTTGGTTTTTTTGAGACAGAGTCTGGCTCTGTTGCCCTGGCTAGAGTGC